CATACATGCCCACCCTACATGCGCAGAGTACGCTTGGTGTTTGGTTCAGCTCTGGAAAAATGTACAGAACCTCTGACTTTTCTTTTCATTTTATGGATTAGGTAGTACCCAAGCATTGTAACACTGGTTAGAAAAGTTTTTTTTCTCAGTCTATTGAGTTTTCATTTGCACCCAGAAAAGAAGCACATATCTTTTAATCATCTGGCTTTCACTAACAACATTCAACTGGTATATCTGGTATGACAGTATAAACAGTATAGATAGTCTATAGTGTATCACTTCAATTCTATTAATTTTAATATCTGTTTATGATTACCTTTAGGCTGAATGACAGTATTATTTTGTTGTTAAAACATCAGGTGTCAGATATATGTATTCCATCTAGTCTCTCTTTGAGTATTATCTCTGTGAAAATTTCCACCCAATTCTTCCTTTCTAACTAGAGAGAAATTCGTCTTCAAATAGGGAAGGGAAGGGATCATACTTGATATTATTTCTTAAAGTCTCATTTTTCTTTTCCTGGGTTAATAATCTTTATCTGTGCCCAAGCCAAAGCTTGTACAATCCCCTATCTTTATCTCTTTCTAAGTGGTATTTACCGTGCGTGAGTCCCAGGAGTTTCCATTTTTTTCAGATTTTTTTTTTTTTTGAACCAAAAGTAGGTAACCATTCTGGTCAAGACAAGAAGTGAAAAATATCAAGGCCACTGACTTGAGTGCAAAATCCATCAGGGAGTTAGCACTCACAACTGAGTGTTCTTTCTTGAGCAGACTCCTGTCTAAGGTGATAGAGCAAGACAAGGTAGATGCATGCTCTCCTTGCCCCAAAAATCTAGAAATGATTATGAGGTGTTGACAAGATGGTTCAGTGGTTTAGAGCACTTACCGCTCTTTCATAGGACTGGAATATAGTTCTTAGTACCCATGCTGTAGCTCACAGTCCCCTGTAATTCTAGTTTCAGGTGATTCAACACCTTCTGGCTTCCACAGGCACCTCCACATGAATGCACATACACACAAGACACACACACACACACACAAAAAGAAAAAAGAAAAAGAAAAAAACCTTTAAAGAAAATATGGGATGAATACAATTAAAATGCCACCATGGTAACTATATTGTATGGCTATGGATTGATAGACCATACCTTGGAGTGAGGAAAGGAATGTGTAAAACAAGAAATGGAAGAACTAGATAGATGATTTCCTGTCTGTGGGTGATGAGCTCTGGCCAATCTAGGGAGTTTTTAAGTAGATATGGCAAATCCTCAGGCACTCAATCTCCATGTGTTGATTGAATTGACACTTCTTTCTGTCTGGTTATGCATGTACACTCTCCTGCCAAATTGCCTGAGTTCAAATCCTAAGTATTTGGCAACTGCAAGTCCTTCAACAAACTGCCTAACCTCTCTATGATGTAATTTCCTCTTTACCAACCACATAGAATTGGTAGGAGGGACAAAATTGATAAGATGTGTTGCATACTTAGCCTTGCCCTGATGATTAGAGAGTGTGCTATTTATGAGATACATATACCGTGAGGAGACAGTTATACTGTTCATATCCAATATTATATGGACCTTGGTTTTACCGAACATACAGAGTAAGCCAGCACATTGGCCCTTCTGTTTCCTGATTTTGGAAGAAGCAGGCAGTGAATAGGCTCAGTTCTGATGCTTCTCTTTCAGACATGTTGCAAGACAATAAAGTTCCTGTTAAAAGCTACTCACTCTGACTCCAGCTTCAAGGACACCTCGCAGAACAAAAATCCCATCGTTTATGCACGGTCATTAGAGTTTTACGTCTACTTCACAGAGTGAAATACAGATTAAATCTTCCGGGAACTGGCAACAGGTTTAAATCTGGGCATGAGATGCTATTATGAATTAATCACATATGTTCTCAGATTCAAAATCCTGTGGTAAGAAGTGAGATTCTATATACTGTACTCACTTCGTTAAGCACACATTCTTTCCTCTTTTTTGATTCCACTATTTAACTGTAAAAAACCTTACAAGGCAAGAAGGGTTTCTTAGATTATTTGCTGTCCTGAACTTATTGATCCCTTTCAGAACAGTGTTTTCAAATGCATGCTCACAATAATAATAACTACAAAGGAAATAATAACTACAAAGGAAACCAATTACTTTAAAATATAATTTCTAATTTCTATGTATTAAAAATTCCCATTTCTCAAAACACATGTTCTTAATGAAGATAAAATGAGTACATGAAATGAGCAGCTACACCATCCAGACAGTGGATATAAAGTAAATTTGGAGGACATTTTGCAAATAAGGTTAAAATGTATTCAAATCTATATTAAGCATGGTAAGTGAAGCTCTTGCTTAATCTTGGTGATTTTTTTTATTTCTTCTGAGGTTTTGTCTTGTTCGTTTGCTCATTTTAGGCATATACTCTGGAAATAAGTGTATGGTTAATTCTTTCTGATGTTTATATGGCTAGTTGTTTAGTAAAAAAAATACTATAATTTGTTTTTAAGTTTCAATGAATGCCTTTGGTTGAACCTGCTGTTTTGCTGCTGTTTGTTGCTGCATCTAAAGCACCTTCTTCATCCCACTGTTGGACACTTCAGTGTAAGCGGTAGATGGTGAAGCAAATAAAAATGATCTCACTGACAAACCCATCCTCTTCAGACTAGGCAAGCACCTCTCAGGGAGCTCACTCCTGCTCCCACGGAAGTAGGAGCTGTTTGGACAGTGCGTAGACTTCAGTGAAAGCCCTTGTAGAAGCCGTGTGAGCCACAGTAAAGTGACAGCAATTCAGTCAGTTTTACTGAAGGACCCCTATCCTAGGAAAGAGGATCCCACAAATTCCTCAACAAAGTCTCATCAATGTGTGAAGCATAATCTGACTCTCCCAAAGTCTATGAATTCAAACATTACCCTTCCCAGCACCACAAGCCAAAACTCTCCTTCATTCCTACTTGGTTTCTCTCCAAACGAAACTGTCTTCCTGATCCTGCTTTTTTCTCAAAACTCTAGAGAGAATTGAGATTGCTCAAAGTTCACTGCCATGAGATACCAGTTATTGAATCAAGTATCTTATATAGATTTCCTATTGCCTTAACCCAGCCCAAATAAATATTTCCATTACAATTATTTAGCAAATAATACTAATAAAGGGAAGATTATACTTTTATTAAACATATTTCACATGCTAGTAGCTGTGCAATATGTTTTATATACAAGATTTCTTATTAGATCGTATAATGAAGCCATTGGTCTAGATATCACTGTTCCTAGTTTATAAGTAGAGCCCAACTACATAGTCATTATGGGTATTTGACCTCTGTTCTGTAAATACCAACAACATGCAGTTTTCAAAAACTAAAAGTCAAAGAAGACAGGGAGTTGGGAAGGAACATGGAGAGAAACTCTGGAATTAGTTTCAGGGTATGTGTACAGATACGATCAAATAATTTAAAATTTTTTAAATAAAAAAATTAAATAAAAAAATGCACTAACTGCTCTATTAAAGCTCTTTCAGTAAAACAGTACATGACTGCATGTTCTCGAATCATGTTCAATATCAGACTATATTCCCTAATTCCATGGAAAGCTGGAATTTTGGAAAGATAACTATGCAGCACAATTACATGTTTAATTCAGTAGACTTCAATCATCTTGGAGGACGAGTACAGCATGATACATAGTGTCCCAACCACTTCAACTGTGAGATGTGCTTTTTTTTATATGAATCTATATCAATTTATTAATGGGTGCTATGGGAAAACAGACTCATGGATACAGGACAAGGTAGATTCAGTTGCAGAGTCCTTCTGTTTTGCCCTGGAAAGATGGGGATCAACACACACTGCTCTACACTGACTTGGTATCCACCATCCAAGAGCAAGATGTGCTTAAGCATATGGTTCCCACCTATTCTAGAGCATTGGCAAATAGAAAAAACTTTGTAGCTGGAAATATATATATTCATTTTTATCATCATCTCCAGGATCATCAGTAGTATCGGATCTTAATCTGAACTGAAAGAAACCAGTGAATTAATCAGAGCGGCCTTAAATGGAAAAAAAAAAGAATTAGTGCTCATTTAAAGGAGAAACCTTGTTCATGTTCAGTGATCATAAAATGTAAGTTAACTGAAGCTGAGATGTAACTAAAATTAAGATGCCCTAGCCCCCTAAGTGAGGGTTCACATCTACCTCCCTTGTCGTGAACCATATCAGGACCCAGCAGAGGAAGAGCCTCTGAGACTATCTCCAAAGAACCAATCAGATAATAGATTGCAGTGAATCAGATGGTGACTCTCAGACTAAGCAAATGAGTAAGAGATTAAGTAAGAGAGGATCTGTAATTGACAGGAACCTCAAAGCATTTCACCTATTGTTCTCCATGATCTGGAGTGTTCTTAGATAGAACATCATAGAGGCTGAGAGATTGATTTCAGGGTTACATTTTTACATGTTTAAACCCCAAATTTTCCATTTAATAGGTGGTACGATAATACAGATTACCTAACCTTTCTATTTTCCCATCAATAAAACATAGATTGTAATAAAATCTAATTAATTTAGACAGTAATATTTAACTCATATTTTGTGTGTGTGTGTGAACAGTATCAGTTATATTTAACCCAGTGACTGGCACTTACCAAGGGATTCTGTAAGTACTCATTTTATTCTGCAGTCCTTTATACCCATGTTTCTAAGTTGCAAACCAAATACTTGTGCACTGAATGGCACCTCAAGGAAGCCTGTGGCTCTGCTTAGACCCATGGTGCTCACACACCGGATTCTAGGTGTACAGCTGAAGGTACAATGAGAACAAATGGGTGACTATAAAATTGCCCAATTTGGCACAACCCTATTATTATCTCTGGAGAAAGCCAAGCCCAGGCATAGCTGATGAGTTAACCAGATACGATGCAGAAAACATTTCCTTCTCCTTTTTGGTTTCAAGCCTATTTCTGAAGACATAGAGCTCTCCGGCACAGTTAGCACCTGACGGCACAGAGGCGATGGCTCCTGCCAATGGAGGGTCTGCCCAGCTGTGGCTACCACTGCTGTTTATCTGTAAGTACAGATTCACATTACTTTCCACCCCGAGGGACCAAAATTCATCTAGAGAGCATCAGGATGGGGACATCGATGTTATTTTGGTGACTTTGCAGCACTTATGCAAACCATGGGGGCATTTCCCGACACTATGCAGTAGAGAGGAGCAGAGGAAACGGGCCTGAGCATCACTCAGTGGGAAACCAGGCTAATTGCTTGGATCTTGTCAGTCCTCTGACATCTTTTAGAGTACAAGACAGATACCAATAGAGGAGGATAAGGAAAGAATGCAGTTCCTTCTCCCCACTGATCATTAAAACTTCATGGATGTGGGTCTCATTCCCACACAGATCACAATCTTCTTGCATCCTGGAAAACTGGAGATAGATGCTAACTTATCCTTTATTGATTTTGCAGCTCTGAGTGTCATGCTGACGGGTGAGTTGTTTGTCCTTATTCCCTCAGTATAGCTGGACATTTCTCTCTTCCTCTGTTTGTCTGTATCCGTCTTGTTTTTTTATAGCTCTGAATTTTGCTCTTCCCAGAAAGTCTGCTTTCTAGATCCACCTCTTCCCCATCATTTATTCCCAGCCCTAGAGTTTCCCACATACCATTTTCCCCTCTCAAGTTGCCTCCTCTTCTGCTAAAGCCAACAGCCATGTCTGCTCTGATGTCAGCCTCTTTTCTAGGCCTTTAACATATACTCATCCAACTTTCATATTACTATCATTATTGGTATTTTATAATTGAGACTCCTGTAATTCAGATTACAACATTACTCACTGGAGGTTGCACAACCAACGAAAACTTGGTTCTATCCTAAGTCCCTTGGGTCTGAATATAATGTTCCTTGACTATATCACACTGTGTCATCACCACAAGCTGCTCTTTAGTTTCTGTTTAAATTTTCACCACATCTCCTTAAATCTCCTGAAAGTCATCCAAGGCTGACATGCTCTTGGTGCTTTTCATGAAACCTGGAAAATTGCAAACATTTCTCACTGCATATATTTACAATTAAATAGTTTAAAAATTTAGAATTCATAGTTTGTCAAGGCTATTATATGTTTTTATTTTAATTAATGTAATTTATTTACATTGTATACTAAAATATACCAATACTTGATATAATCTGAAATGGTTGAAAGTTGTTCCTGATATGTTTTAATGAAACGGAGGTTTTAACATTTTTCCTTTATTTCTACTACATTCAGCCATTTAACAATTATTTAGCTAGCACTGACTATATACCAACCATTATGATAAGCAATGATCGGTTGTGTCAAGTATTATCTCTACCTAAAAAAGATTGCAATTTATATTTATGGGTACTGATATTCAAGTTCAGAGGATTAGAGTAGGTTATGACATCATATAATAAATGACTTTGCTTGCTTCCAAACTTCTTGTGTATGAACCCTATCTTCATGCCTGGACTGGCTGCTCTCTGAGACCATATCACTGTCTACTTCATTCTTTATTGGTTTTCTAGACATCATGTCTGAGTGTTGTTACTAGCAAGGTGAACCATTGTTTGACTGTTGACATGTTTGGACTTTTGAGACTGGATAACTTTCAATGACTTACAATTTCTTTATTTTCACAATTTCACTTTCTTTAAGCCACTCAGAAATCTGTTGTGACATTGAACCCACCGTGGAGTAGAATATTTACAGGAGAGAAAGTGACTCTTATATGCAATGGGAACAATCTTCAAGAGAACTCTACTAAATGGTTCCACAATGGCATCATCTCTACTGTGACAACTTCACATTGGGACATTGTGAGTGCCACTATTCAAGACAGTGGAAAATATATATGTCAGAACCAAGGATTTTACAAGAGTAAACCTGTGTACTTGGAAGTGACGAGAGGTATGTTCTAGGCATATGGGAATATATATCTTTCACATGAAGAAGGACCCACTAGAACAGTGGTTCACAACCTTCCTAATGTTGCAACCCTTTAATATAGTTCCTCATGTTGTGGTAACCCCCAACCATAAAATTTTGCTACTGTGATGAATCACAGTGTAAATATCTGTGTTTTCCAATGGTCTGAGGCAACCCTTGTGAAAGGGTCATCTGACCACCAGAGGGGTCATGACCCACAGGTTGAGAACTACTGCACTAGAAGATGGCAGGAATGTAGTTTATTCTAAGAGATTTAAGGCTTCTCACTCAAGACATCTCAGTGTCTTTTCTTCAGCACCTCTCCTTACATCCTCTCTCTCAGTAGTCTATTCAGTGATCAATATTATTTCTCTGCTCTGTTTCTTCTATTTTACCTGGATGTAGACACGCATTTTGTGATCAAATGGCATGATAGGCATATGGACACTGCAAAGAGCTGTGTATGTATACTTGGATCATAATGTTTGAGTAAAGATTTTCTTTGAACAATCTGTGAGCCATGAACGATACCTCTACATTTTTTTCATGTCCTTTTCTGCTACTAAAAACAATTCTATTGTTTATTTTGTTACAACAAATATTGTTTATTTATTACTCTTTTACTGTCAAAACTTAATACAACATATCTAGGTATCAGTAAATGTTGAATGAGCAAACTATCTTTCAAATGGGAAAATTACACATTATATTTTATATAATATATAAAATATATATATATATATATATATATATATATATATATAAAACCTATCTTTTCTCGAGTGAAAAGATAGGTTTTAACATCTATAAACCAATTCCAAGTATAAACTAAACCATGCAGACTAGTCATTTATTTCCTGGTAGTAGACTTTAGAGAAGTCCTCAAAGGTTTTTTTCTTAAATACAATATGCTTGCACAAGTAAGATACGTTCTCATTCAAAACCCCCCATTTATGAATGTTTTACAATTGTTAAAAATGGCGTTAACCATAGAACATGATTCTTTGAACTTGCTGAATCATGATTGACAAACTATCACTGAGTATCTACAAACTCCTAAAAACTGTGTTAGGTACTACTGACAAAACAGAACCAGATACAGTCCTGTATCTTCATACACAGATCTATATAGGGAAGATGACAGAAAATAAAAATTAAAATAATACTTAAGATTCATGTGCATATTTTAAGGAAATATTTTGGCCTACTATAATTAACAACATAACTGAGAAGCCTCTGTGAAGAAAGAGGGACAAAAAAATCCCCCTAAGTTCAAATATTTTTGGAGGAGTATGTCTGTCTGCTTCCTTTTAACTAGATCCAGCTAGAAAAATCTGAAGGGAATTCTGGTCTTTGTTCTTTCCACATGTGGACTCAGCAATAGAGTACAAGACACTTTATGGTTCCTGGTTGACTTTTCAAAGGGAGAAAAGATTCACTGGCATAGATTTCCGATTATATGTATTATTTTGTCTTTATTTTTTAATTGATCTTATGAACCAAGACATGGATTTCATGGATGCGCTTTACCTGTCTTTCGATCTGTCTCTCTGCTCCTTTCTCCCCATCCCCTTCCTCAGGATGCTTATCAATTGTTAAGTCTATATTAACCATAATGTAATGAATATTCTTCAGATTGGCTGCTCCTTCAGACTTCTGCTGATATGGTATTATACAATGAGTCCTTTGACATCAGATGCCATGGCTGGAATAACTGGACTCTCCGTAAGGTGATCTACTATAAGGATGACCTTGCTTTCAAGTATACTTATGAGACCCCCAAAATCTCCATTAGAAATGCCAAACTTAATGACAGCGGCACCTATTACTGCACTGGCTATCTTCGCCGACTGAACTACACATCTGAGAAACTCAGAATTACTGTAACAAAAGGTAAGTTGATATAGAACAAAATAGTCCATAGCATGGGAAGAGAAAGTGACCATATGAGCCAGTGTTTAAAGTTAGTACAAGGGCATCTGTGACTGTCTTGGAAGAAGGAGACCCAGAGCATATCACCATAGTAGAGTCCTTTTTGTTAAATGCTGATGGTAATACCTATGCACAAAATGAAATTTTATGAAGATCAATGAGATAGTTTTGTCAAATGGCATTATAAGCTGTCAAGTCCTGTGCTACAATTAGCATTTAAAAATTATCTCTTGCTCCTAAGAAGAGAGTTTGTATCTATGAGATTGGAAGTGGTTTGGGAAGCTGAAGGAAGCAAGGATACAAAGAGCTTGGAGAGTCCATATTAGCTGAGGATGACGGGGAAGGAAACCAATCCCTCAGTGAGCTGTGTGTGCTCACTGGAGGTCCTGGAGCTGTGTGGTCCTGGAGGATGAGAGTGAGCCCGCTGAGGGCAGGCAGGTGGGCTGCCTCTATGGCTCATAAGACAAGCCACTCTTACCAAATGTCATATAAGAGGGGAACTTTGAAATGCTTGCCTTTAAAGGAGGAAATTTTGCTTTTTCTTGGCATGTTCATAATTATCTATAAAAAAAACAAGTTGGCCAAAGTTTGAATTATACTTCTGATGTGTTGCTGGAGTTATCTCCAGTCCCACCCAGGCCTGCAGCCACTCAGACCCAAATAAACACATAGATGATTATTTTATTTAAACTGTTTGGCCTAATGGCTTAGGCTTCTTGCTATCTAGTTCTTATATCTTAAATTAACCCATTTCTATCAATCTGTAAGTTGCCACATGGCTTGTGGCTTATTGGTACTTTCACATCATGCTTCCTCTGTCTGATGACTCCTGACTTAGCCTTCCTCTTCCCAGAATTCTCTTCTCTGTTTACCCCACCTATACTATACTTCCTGCCTGGCTATTGGCCAATCAGCATTGTGTTTATCAATCAATCAGAGCAACACCTTCACACTATCCCCAGCACTGATGTTTAATTGCTCCTGGTTCCATGCTGTGTTCTTTTGTACTTTCAAATCATCAACTACTGGCATCATGTTTCCATGGCTTTCACTGATTAGAAGAATAGCTAGATAGGGATCATTGGGAAACATTTATCCCTCTGCAGTGATCCAGAGAGCAGACTGTGGAACCTAGTATCCTGAGTGTTTTCTCTCTGTTCCTGAATACCCCATCAGGCTAAGGGTGGAGAATCATGCTTGTGTCCCTCTTAAAGAAGATGTATCTCTGAGCCCCCCTTTTCAGTTTCTAATCTGAATTGTATAAATGCTGTTTCTATGTTTCATTCTAGTTTACAAAACCAAGTACCTTTGGCTACAGTTAGTTGTCCCATTGCTGGTGGCGATTCTGTTTGCTGTGGACACGGTGTTATTGTTCTCCACCCAGGAACAGTTCAAACTACTCTTGAAAATTCAGAAGACAGGAAAATGCAACAAACCTTGAAACTTAACCCCTAACCTAGGCACATAAAGGAACTGATGCCATTGCTGGAGAGAGAATTCTTAACAGTAGTTTTCCACAGTCCTCAATAGTTTCTCAACTGTCAAAGGTAACTCACATTATCTATACAAAAGTCTGTGCCTCAGGATTTGCATAAATGCTTCATTAAACCATCTGCAGCTGGTTAAATAACATGTAATAGTAAATGCTCAATAAACACTGGTTTAATTTGTATTTGTAAAAGAGAAGCACAATTTGAATAAAGCAAGTGTGGAATCATGTGGCATGGTACCTTTAGAGTTTGTTTTCATCTAGAAGAAAGACCCATGAGGGCACAAATTTAAAATAACCTTTCCTGGTCATTATAAGAAGGAGGTAGCATAGAAGACATGGTAGGATACTGGTGAGGTTGGCAAGGTTTTGTGTTCTGCCTTTGATTGCTAGGAGCTTTGACTCTTGATAAAAGCTGAGATGACTCCAAGGCATGGCAAGTTCTGTAGTGATATACTTTGTAACCAAATAAAGCTTGCCTTGAGGATCAGAGGACAGAGCCAGCCACTAGATTAGACATAGAAGCCAGACAGTGCCACACACCCTTAATCCTATCACTCGGGAGATAGAGATCCATTTGGATGTCTGTGAGTTCAAGGCCACACTGGAAACAGAGCCAGGCAGTGGTGTTGCACACCTTTAATCCCTGTACTGGAAGCACATACACCTTTGATACCAGGAAGTGATGTCTGGGCAGAGAAAGGTACATAAGGTGTGAGGAAACAGGAACTCACTCTCTTTCGGCTGAGGATTTTGTAGAGGTAAGAACTAGTGGCTGGCTGCTCTGCCTCTCTGATCTTTCAGCTTTCACCCCAATATCTTGCTCCAGGTTTTTATTATAAGACCATTTAAGATTTGAACAACAGGATTCATATTTGATCAATTCAGAAATATCAGATTAACCAATCTTACAGTTGCAACTTGTATCATATCTTCATAGAGGAACAAAGCAAATGACTTTTGAGAAATCCAGTAAAAGATAAACACTGTTTATAATCCTGCACAGTGGTTCTCAACCTGTGGGTCATGATCCCTTTGGGTCATTTGTAACAATGAAAACATATCCTGCATATCAGATACTTACATTACTATTCATAACAGTGGCAAAATAATAGTTATGAAGTAGCAATGAAAATAATTTTATGGTTGGGGTTCATCACAACATGAGGAACTGTATTAAAGTGTTGGAGCATTAGGAAGGTTGAGAAATACTGGTGTAGGACCTAATCAGTTCTTGGGTAAAGGAAATAGGTTTGTGTTTTATCTCTTTCATTTTGTTACCAAATCATTCATTGAAGGCCTAGGTCTGCCTCAGAGTGTGAATTGGATTAAGTTTCTTTCCTGCAAAGATATCCATTATTAGGGCCAAACTACACATTATGACATGGATCAAAATCTTTATTCTTTTACTTCCTAGGTTTATGATATCAGAAACTCTGCTTATATATTTATGAGTCAAGTGTTTAATTTCTAAAATAGGAATGAAGATAGTTATCATGTCTAACTCAGCTCCTGCCCATGCTCATGCAGACAATGAGTTGGGACTTAAGGAAAACTCTAAGGGACAGGGTCCATGCTGTCAGTGCTGGACTGGAGCTTATGATAGCGTATGAGAGCAGATGGCTTAAGTTTGCCCAGACTCTACACCTACTGACATTGTAAGAAAAGCTTTGAGTGTAATTTGTAAAGACTGATAGGCCTGGAATTTTTATTTCCTCAAGAAGTGTTAGTGAAATATACATAGTAATTGCTCCAGCTTTTTTAAAAGGTAGACATACAGATATATTATGTGAACTTCCTCATCCTCCTCCCCAATATTTTCCTCATTTAATATGGTAAGGGATGACTACATTCCTGCCACATGGGTTCATGTATATAGGTGTGGTGAATGCAGAAGAGATTTCTTCTGGAATTCAGGCAGGGGAAAGTCCCTACTGGAAACTCCTGGGTGATTTTATGGGAAACTTTCTCTGCTTCCTGCCCAAGGCTTATTTCAGTATAAAGCCTTTCAGACCACAGTGTTGCCAATATACACAATCAAGACACATTGCTCTACAGAGTTCTCTACTATGTCATTGTCCTTGACATAGCCCAAGCTTGGGAGGGCCATGGACAGAGCAGAGAGATGGAAGTCCAAGCTGCTTCTTAGTGAGTGATGGACTGGGCCAGGCAACTGCCTAATCTTTGAGATTCTGTTTTTCCTGTATGAGAAGGGATTTGACAAGGTGGTTTCTAGAGTCTCCCTAGTCTCAGACACTGCCACTCATTTTCCATGTAGTGATCATCTAGGCTCAGAGGCTCAGAAGTCATTTCCCACCCAGTGCCAGGCTGAATTTTCTTTCATGCTCCATCACTGGGCACCCAGATCTCTCACTACTTTGGTGTGCTGATTGTCATATATAAATTCCCAGTTAATTTTAGATCTGTGTCTGCCATTTCTGTTTTATTTCTTTAGCTTTCATGGTCATTCATATTCTATTCCAGAAGTAACTTAGGAAATTGGGTGAAGATTCTAATAGTTAGTGGTCCCCAAATTATACTCTTTCTAAAAGTTTCTCTTTCTTTCTTTCTTCCTTTCTTTCTTTCTTTCTTTCTTTCTTTCTTTCTTTCTTTCTTTCTTTCTTTCTTTTCTTTTCTTTTCTTTTCTTTTTCTTTTTGGTTTTTCAAGGCAGGGTTTCTCTGGGTAGTTTTGGTGTCTGTCCTGGATCTCACTCTGTAGGCCAGGCTGGCCTCTAACTTACAGAGATCCACCTGCCTCTGCCTCCCGAGTGCTGGGATTAAAGTGTCTTTTTATTATGTGAAATATTTTGATCTATGTCAAAGAGTGAGTATGTTATACAGGTTAGTTAAGAAATTTCCTTTCTTGATTTACCTGTTTGTCCTCCTTGGTCACCTCTGATCTGTACTAAATTGGTCCAGGACAAAGCATAAAGCAACATTTGCTCCCTCAAAATAGATAATCACAAATCCTTATGAGTTTCTGATACTTAGAGGATGGGAAAACAGATGAGCATCTCCTGGCTTGTGATCTTGGAAGATAAATTCCAAGGATGCCACCAGAATAAAGATTTAGACAAAAGATGTATCAGGAGAGACGGTTTGGAAATTAAGTCCTTAGACGAAAGGTGAACTTCTCTTCTTCAAATGAGAAATGAAGCATAGAGGGACATCTCTCTAAACCTGGAGATGCAGTTTCCTGCTGAGGAGGGAAGAAGCCCCCCAAGCCAAGTCTATGGATGACATCAGAGTCTGTCTTCCTGTCTTAGATCACCTGCCCATGTGCTCTCAAAATCACTATCAAGTTCACCTGCATATACTGCTTGCAACATCCACATTCTTCCATTTTCAAAACTGAAAAGGTATAGGCGTACTGTCAGTCTCGTTGATGTTCAATACAGCATAGACAGTGGGCAAAAGCCTCTCTGCAATGTGGAGTCAGGATGAAAAGAATCTGAAATTACAGAAAATTCAGATAGAAAAAAACCTCAGATATTTACTTAACAAAATTTTAAAATCATTGTGTCATAGTAGATATAACTCAGCACTTGTAACAAACATGTATTTTAAAACTGAAGGAAAAGATCTCGTCCACCTGTACTAGAATAAGTTAGGGCTAAAAATTGTATTTTCCACAAATGCCAACTGTTCTAGAAATGCAATTCTAAAACGCAGCTGCAAATTGGTGAGCCCAGGAAACAGAATCCAAGACAGAGGCTTGAATGCAGCATCCACACCTCTGCTCAGGTGAAAGAAGCAGGTTTGAAAGAGAAAACCTGAAATGTGAAACAGTCACAGCAAAAACCCTAAACCATCTCACAGATGACAGTTCTGGACCTGAGACAGCTCTACATAATCACCATAGAGAGGAGACACCATAGAATAGACAAACCATTGAAGGTAGCATATTCCCCAAACATGATAAAAACACAGATGCAGATCCTTAGCAAGGATGCTTCCAAAGAGGACTCACCGAGAACCTCACTCCAGGGTTCTAGGTTATCCAGAGAGTTCATGTGCGGATCCTGAGGTGTATGATCTGGAGGTGTACATCAGCCTTTGGCAAATTCATCTTCAGACATGTGATATCTGTTCTACTGCCCATGATACCAACACACTTCATATCTTTATTTAACTATAATCAACAGAATTGTTAAGCTATTTTTTAAAAATTGTCTTTTAACCAACTCCACAGAAAGGAAATGGCTTCACCATTTCTGGAAATCTGGACACTGAGTGAAGACATAGCACTCCACATTCCTTCCCTGTGCAGACTTCATATTCTAGTCTTTTTTTTCCCAAAATGACACATGCTAACTTAAAATTACAGATTGTTCATTTCCATGAGTGTGCTCCGCTACCGTCAAACAGTGGACTGATGTTCTTTTACAGTGATATCTACCAGCCCCCTTCTATACTCATTTTCTTTATTCCAGCATTGAAAGGATGGACAAAGCTAACCTTGTCAGTATGGTGTTTTTCTGGGTCTGAACTTTCTCAAGTATGCATTATAGGATTGTAGATAGCCCACACCTGTATTCTTTGTAGCTGGTGCTGTTTTACTTTCTTACCGCTGTGATACCATCCACTTCAAAGACACACTTCAAGTCTCTTAAAAATCCCCAAGTCATCACTCAGTATTAATATGATATTCATGAAAAAGAAAATAAGAAAGTCTTTGACATAAAGGTATGTGTTTGAATACTGACTATACCAGCAGCCTTAACAACAATAAACATGTCTTTTTGGGCTTGTTTCCAGAATTGATACATATCACATTTAGACAATTGATGGACTTAGTGTTTTAATAAATTTGAGTGGATACAGTCTTGTACATCTACCAATGAGGATCTAGTCTGAGAAATAATTTGTAAGCAATTTTGTCATTGTATCAATATCATATAGTGTAGCTACACATCACACATAGTACTAGCCCATTTTATGTAATAAGCTAT